TAGACAGACCACCTCAGAAAATGCCTCTGTTTTTGTCTTGTCTATAAAGAGAGGAAAAATGTCTTAGCTTTCTTAAGGAACTTAATGATGCCTTCTGCTTGCAATAAGAAGCATATGCATCCAAGAAATCGGTTATGAGTTTGGCTCTACATTAAAAGAGTTGAAGCAAGGTCATTGTTGAACATGCTACTGCTCCTCTCCACATCTCTGTGTTCATTGTTCTGATAATGAATAACAGCTGGGATAAAATATTTTTGATGAAGTGAAACACAAATGTTTTCCTCTGCTTCTTTTTGTGAATGCTCTTGTAAGCCTAGATATAGATCGACTTCCTTTGTTGCTCATTTTTTGGCATGGAAGGGAGGAAAAAATCCAGTACTTGGTATGGGCAATGCTCAAAATCAAGACCAAAGCCTGTGTTCTGATTTTAGAGAAATAACAGTAAATATCAGGTAACTTCAGGAATTCAAAGAATAATTTCACATTAGTGATAATATAGATGAGACTGGAAGTTGCCCTGTTAACTTTTAAATTACCAGTTAGCTTTTAAATTACCAGCATTAAATTATGTGCATATTTACCTCAATTAGGAGCTTCAGATCATTCCTTCCATTGAGCTTAATGCAAGGTCTGGATTCTGTCTGCAGTACAAGTCTTTCTCAGCCCTTTAGAAACCATACTGCGATCATTACATGGCTGTCCTTGGCAAATGTCTGACTCTATTTTCAATTGCTAAGTACAGTCAATGATAAAAATAAACATTAACTGTGTTACCTGTGTCATACAGGCCAAAATGCCACAGCAGAAGCCAAGGGCTAAAGCTCGCCTGTTGAAGGAAGGAAGCTGACTGCTCTCTGGCGCAGTATCAATTTTGTACAGATTTGTGACAGACTGTAAGCATGTTTTAACACTTGGGATCTCTCTCCTAAAAGGAGGCATAATGGAATCAGTTTGCTGTAGAACAAGAAAGAGAGGGACAGATTGTGGCAAGCCGAGAAGAATAACAAGTTGGAAAACTGGAGCATTCAGAAAAAAGTGAATCCCAGTCAGGAAAAGAAACAAACAGACGTACCAGTCAGGCCTCTATCCAAACTGTGGGAATTTTACATGGTACACAGGAATGTGTTGGAGGATTTAGGAAGGGTGCTTGAGGAGCTCATCAACCAGCATTATCAGAGAGGAAAGCCATTACCAAGCCCTGGCCTGATAAATGGTCAAATATCACTGATGAATTCCATAACATAATGCAGTGAGATAGTGGGGTACCTAGCAGAAGATTACACAGGAGGAATCAGCAAAACCAGCCTGCTGTTGATCTTTTGACATTTTTGAAAATCTCCAGATGCTTGGTAAAGATGTTTCTTAGAATGAAGACTGTAGTTAGCTGATTCAGGGACATTTTAGCCGGAGTTTCGTATGTCTTTTGGCAACTCCCCAGGGGAAGCACCCCAGCCATGAAAGTGTGCAGCAGCACCCCAGCTGGACAATGCAAGGGTGCTGTTGCCTTCCCATAGTGTTGGGCAATCCTACTCCTTTCAAATGCAAAACCCAAAGGTGAATTAATATAATAGCAGGTTTTCATCCCCCTAATAAAAGATTTGCTTGTGAGACGCTCAGCCCGAATTGCTCCCACCAGTGCACCAAATACCTCTAAGTCTCGTGGTTGCTTCTTTTTACCCACCTCTGCCCTGGTCTCAGAATTTCAAGTGGTGTCACCTCTTTATCAGATGGGGTGAGCTGAGTGCTGTGGAAAATAAAAAATAAGACATATTGTAAGATGCTGTGCTTGTTGAAGCAGGTGCTAAGGAGGAGATGTGACTAAGGAACTGGTTTGTGTGAAGTGACTGTAGAATTTTTCCACTTCTTCTGTAATAGAGCGCTTTGAGACAGGTGCTGATAAAAAAATCTCCTACTGCTGAGGCCTTCCCCTTGGCTGGCAGTCTTGTGTAAGCCGGAGCTAGCCCGGAGTATCAGGTTGCTTTATGCCGTGAAAAGCTAGAACTGTGATCTGGAAAGAATTAGAACTGCCCGTGGAACGCTGTCAGACACATGATCGCATAGTGATTGCTAAGGAGAAGATGATCAGGTCTCAGATACCCGAGATCAGTATTGAGAAAACAAAGTTTGCAGCCATGGCAGCAACTGTTGTCTCCTAAATGTTACCCTTTACAGGGCTTGGCATCCTTAGGTGAAACGGAGACTGTTAGTCCTTCTTGTGGTGAGTGAACACGGCCAAAGGTGCTGCATACCTTGCACAAGTGAGGGAATGGCTGTTCCTATTGCTACCTTTGGGCGTGTGCGATTGCACGTGCGTCTGCGGACACGTGCCTCGTGCGTACGCTCTGTCACCGTCTGCCACCGTGATTTCAATGTTACGATAATTCCTGGTACAAGCCAGAAGGACACCGAAAAGCTGCCTGTCAGTTATAAGAAACAACTGAGGCTTCTTGGCTGCTAGCCTGCTTGGAGTGATTATCTTCAGCTGTTTTCAATAAGCTTTGCAAATTAGAACTAATGACTGAGATAAGTCACTAAGAGCATAACTCATGTTTTATATTTAGAAGGTTTATCTTTCCTCAATTGCTAAAAAACTGTAGTTTCACATGCAGTCAGGCTGTGAAACTTCATCTGAGCAGTGATTGTATCCATGCACTCAACTGATCTGATTTCAGAATGGGCTTTTGATATTTAAATTATCAAAAATCTTTCTACGTCTAAGATACCTCTTTAAATCCTTGTTGCATAACTTCCAGTGGATTGCTTAGCTTTTAGATTAGTATGTTTCAGTAGGTTGTGTTTTCTCAAGGTCTGAAATAAGTATGCTTTTAACACCGGCCTAGAAAGAACTTATTGTCAGGTGAGGACTTCCCAGCTCATGGTTCAGCTTCTGAATTCCCACGGGTACATCCACCTATGTTATACATGTGTCTTTCTATGGAGACATGTAGGAAAGCAAACAGAGTTAGTTTTAATGAAATTACACATTGCTGCTGTTCTAGGAGAGTTTTCCTTTTTTTTTTTCTAGCACTCCAGATTGATTCTAAAAAGTGCTTAGGGAACTACTGAAACACCATGAACAGAAATGCACCCATTGATCTTGGTCTTTGGGCTGTGGCTCAGACCTGAAAAGAGGCCCTTAACTGCCTGTACTTCAAAAGAAATCTTATTTCCCAATAGAGTTTTACTGAAGAAGAAAAACTATCAGATATTCAGACAGAGAACCTAGTGTGATTTGGGCATCAAAATATTCTAAATTTCTCAGTTTAAGCTCTGAGAATCTGAGCATTATCTTTCCATCTTTGAATCACTGGTTTGGGCTTCACCTGTGCTGTGTACATCCAATAACTGCTTTGACAGGCTTTTGGAGAGTGACAAATTCCCATGCTCTGTCCACCTGCAAGAGCTCCAAAGGAGAAGATTTCAAAGGGAACAGAAAGGTGGGTGTGGTTTCAGACTGTTGAAGTATAAAGCTAATTCCTTGTTTGCAACAGGACAGAGACAGATGGAAAGTTGTATTTAACTTTTTTGTGAGATTAGGATGTACCTTAACCGTTGGTATCCTCACCTGTACTGTAAATTGCTCTAAATGCATGAATGACAGGCAGTTTTAGGGACACTGGCAGTTTGCAATTACTCTATGGCTGCTGAGTCTGTAAACAGCCAAACAATTTGATTTGCTTGGCTCTGCTAGACCTAGGTGAGAATAGGTTGGGAATTTTATTTCAAAACACCTTTTGTCAGAAAACTAAAATGTCTACTAGATAATTGTTCTGTGAAAAATTAGAAGTTTTCTTTAGCAATTAAAAAAAAAAGGTAAAAATTGAAATATTTACCAGAGAAGAGTATTTTCCAAAGAATTACACCATTAGTACCATTAGCTAATAGCTATGAGCTGTCAACAGTAATAACCACACACGCACACACACGCACATATTGTTTTTAGGTAAGGTTGCATATGTTAAAAAATTTCCTGTGAGCTAATGGTAATTGAATTCTGTTATTGTTGTTTTAGAGTTTTATGCATACTGACTGGGGCAGGACAACTTTCCCTGCATGTTCCAGATTTACAGGCTTAGCTACTTGCTGCTGTAAGGAGGCTACTATCGACAACTGCTAAATGGTACCAAAGAAGTTGTAGCTACCTGACATAAAGTGCTGACATGTATAGGCTATTTGATGGTGCAAATTTGCTTAAAATATTTCTCAGATTCCCTTTTTCTGTGAGGCTTTTTTGTCTTGTGCTGCAGCAAAGAATACGCCTGAAAGGGTTCTGTATCGTGTCTCTGGCTAGCTTGACAGAAATGTGTCGCATCCACCACGCACACAGATTGGATCTGCTGGACGACCTGGCAGCTCAATACTAGTGCCCATGGAATTGCAGCCTACTGTGGGAAACGTGTAAGTGTGAACAGGCTGGTTACAAGTTTCTGCCCGTGAAAGCGCAAAAATTTGGCAGTTTGTCCAAGGGTGCATGTGCATGCATTTCCGTCTCTATGCCCTCAAAAGACCGTTCTCTCCTCCCTTTGCCTCCGTGTTCCCCGCTGAAGAGACAATCTGTGCGTACTTTCACATCGTCATCGTCCAAGCAACCCGGTAAAGATCTGGTACTAACCCCTCCTCCCCTCGTTCTGTGTCTCTCCGACTCCTTCCCGACTCACATCTCCCACTTCTTCCTTCCCCGACACCGGCATGCCGCCCGGCTCGAGCCGTCTCGCTGCCGCGGCCCCGCCCGCAGCCCACCGCGCCCGGCCCTCTCGGGCCCTGAAGTCCCCGGGCAGCTGCGAAAGAGCGCGTGGCCCCGCCCCTTCCCCCTGCTCGTTCCACCGTTGCCTCCCGAAATTCCATCTCCCCCTTTGAAGGAGTGTACGCTGAGCGGGGCGGTCCGGGCAGCCGCACGGCCCGCACCACCCGCGCCGCTTCTGTGCGGCGGCTGCCCCGGGCGCGGCGTACGGCCCGCCGAACCCCTGTGTCCCAGCAGGACGGGCCGTGCCCGGCGGCGCCGGGGGCCGGGCTTAGGGGACGGGCTAGGGGCCGGCGGGAGGCAGGGAAAGGTCTCAAAGAGGAGGAGACGCGGCGGCGAAGGGAGTGGGGGAGACTGTCCGGCGTGTGCCGATAGCGGCTCCCGACCCTCCTGCGGACACCATGGCCGGCGAGATCGAGGATCTGAACAGTCGGGAGGCGCAGACTGTCTGCGACGGCCTGGAACGCTACGAGGACACGCTGCGGGGCGCCGTCCGGGACATCCATGCGGACATCCAGCTGTTCAAGCAGGGAGTAGGCCGGCAGGTGGAGGAGGTGCTGCGCCTCGCCAGCCCCCTGGCACACGCTGTCTCTGAGCTGCAGCAGGAGAACCGGCGCCTGCGGGTACAGCTGGAGCGCCTGTCTCGGCAGGTGGAGGCCCTGGGCAGATCGGCGGGGCTGCCGCAGGAGTGGGTGAACGAGGCGGCGGAGAGCCCTCAGGTCGCGGGGCCTGGCTCGCCGGCGCAAGGTTCGGCCGACGGCGCATTCTCCGGTCATGCCAAGCTAACGGTCGCTGGCCGCAGCCAAGTAAGCGGCCAGGGAGACGACAGGAGGGAGGGAGGGCCAAGGGCATGCATGCATGAAGGGATGCTTCACGGGTGCTGCCAGACTGCGTTGGCACGGGATAATGTTTAGGTACACGGGGTTCCTCTTTTGCAGCGCGGGGTCAGTGGGTATTTTGGGAGGTGCTCTGAGAAATGGTCTTGGCTCTGATACCAACTGGAGATCTACCGGATAATGGCCCTCTTTGGTGAGACTGGGATCTTGGTTAGAGTGGTAGCAACCTGAGTTCCCTGTGGTTAGAAATAAGAGGAGATGGTGCAGTCTAGGCTATCAATGTACGTGTGTACGTGAATATTTTTGTATCCTTTTTGGACTCGATTCTGGGGGATCTGTGTGCCAGCAATGCTGTTTGCCAGTTGGCAAGCTTGCAAAGGGGAATAGCTTAGCATACAGCAGGCAGTGGTTTCCATAAGATAACATCCCGCAGTGAGTCAGTTTTGCTGCCAGCCACTGTCCCTCACTGCTGCAGCTCATCCCTGAGAGGCTGACACAAGCTTTCGTGGTCTCTGTGACCTAAACTTGCACAAACATAGTCATCCCTCCCAGTGAGAAAACTTTCTGCAGTGTAATAGAGCACTGTAACTTGGTGTACAAAAATCCCAATAGTGGAAAGTTCATCTGGTACCGAGATGTTTTGTGTAATTCTTTTTCTGCATCTGTCTCTGCAATAAGAATTGAGAGCTCCTGTGCCACCCTTGACGCCAGGAGAACGCAACCGGTCAGTACACTGTGATTCGGTCACATAAAACTGAGGTACTAGAGACTAACAGATGACAGCCTGTTTCACGTGCTCTTAGTTAAGCATGTCTCAAGGGGGTTTTAAGGCTGTTGGAGCTTTAAAAAACTGTCTGTGGTCTGTCTAGGCTTGGGGTTAAAGAAGAAAAGCTTGGAAGTTAAATTTACTAGAACTGGTGGGAATGAGCAGAGTCTGTATTCCAGCCCTCTTCATTCCTGCTGACCTGTGAATGGGGTCATTTGGCTTCCTTCCTCTGGGCAAATGGAAAGGTAAAACTGCTGTTTGATACATTCTAGCAACTGCTGCCTTTCCCCCATATGACAAAGGTAAGCAACATCCATACAGCTTCCAGACTGCCTCCTTTTTGTTCTGTGGAGCTATCCACACTTGCTTATATTGCAAGGAATTGAAGTAAGATGAGCGATGCAGAAGGGACAAGGGACTGTGGTCTCTCACTTCATTTCACTTGCTCCGTCACCACTGTCTACGCTGTGGTGTGCACTTTACAGTCTGTGAAAGTCTTGCGTCAACGTTACGGCCAATATCCAGCTTTAGGTATCGGTCTGCGTTAGAGCACGGTATGAGCTTTTGTTTGGATGGGAACCTTCCTGCTTTGCTTTGGGGGTTTAAGGAAGATCACTTAAGTGCTGATCGTTCTTCAGTGCCCTCCCAACAATTTAGGTTGGAGATGTTCCCAAGTTAGCAGAGCTGACCGAAAGGGAATTTCAGTACTGAGAAGTATGGGAGGTACAGCTACAGCTGTACACGCCAAATTGGTGCAGTGAAAACATGAGTTTGTGGGTCAGGTTCTGATGTGGCTGCACGCAAATGGCGAAAGACCAGGCCTTGGTTGCTGGGACGGTTGCTCAGATTCTCTGTAATGAACACTGTTCCTTCAGTTGATTCCAATTTCTGGTTATATGACCAAAGCATTTGAAACAGAATACCATAAATGGCACTGTGTATGTTTTCAGATACATGAGCACTGGTGATGCTTCTAGTCTTCGTAAATACTGCTATAATGCGAGACACAAGAAGCAAATAATACTGACCTGGAAATAGTAGCAAATCAAGATGTGCTCTTTTGCTCCTGAAAAGATTTATTGGTTGACTTCCTTTGTACTGTGCAGTTGATGCAGCGTTAATTGGATACCAGACATTCTGAGCATCTTTGGTATCTGACCTATTATTTTCTAATATTCCTAGATTATTTTTCATGGTAATTTCATTAGGAAAAAAAATGAATCCAGGGAATTCCAAGCAGAGTTCAGAAGCAAGGACACAAATCTCCTTTTAATTCTAATATGGACAATTTCTGCTATGATGTCCTTGAAAGCTGATATAGAGCAATCTAAATGCCGGTTTAGGTGGAATTTTAAATGGCCGTTAGCCTCTCTGATTTGGAGTTGAGTCTTTCTGTTATTTTGATACCAGACTTCAACTTAGCTCTCTTAACTATGCCAGAGTCTTGAGAGTTGCTTTCACAAAGGTGGAAAATAGGAGATATTTGAAGAGGTAGTTTCAAAGATCTGGATCCTAGAGCCATACCTGCACCACTGAGCATTTACAAAGGAAGAGTTTTGATCTTTCTTTTGTTGGTCTGATTTTACATTTTGGCAAGAGCTTCATAACTTACGGTATTTCTGTAGATTTGGTGATTCAGCATGATGCCTTTGTTGAGAGGGAGGACTAAAAGTACTTTAAGGGTGTCCTGTTTTAAAACTGTCAGAAGAGTTTCTGTGTAACTTGGACAGACAGCTGCAGAGAATCTGCCTGCAGTGGTCAAAGCCACAGAGATAGCTGGCTATGACCACCTATGAAGGTCTAAACAAGTATTACTACCCATTGGGGTCTCTCCCTGATGACCTGATGGCACCCAGCACTTAGCCTGTGAGTAACTGCATGTGACATGACTTGAGTGTATATAATGACCCACGTATTTCCAGCAAAGGTGGGCTGAGAGAGCTGGGGTTATTCAGCCTGGAGAAGAGAAGACTTCAGGGAAACCTCACTGCGGCCTTCAAATACTTTAGAAGGATGGCAAAAAGGAGGGTGAGGGACTTGTTTTTGTACAGGCAGATAGCTACAGGACAAGGGGCAATGGTTTTAAACCATTGAAAGAGGGCGGGTTTAGATTAGATGTTAGGAAGAAACCATTCACTCAAAGGGTGGTGAAGCACAGGTTGCCCGGGGAAGTTGTGGATGCTCTGTCCCTATTAGTCTTTGAGGCCAGGTTGGATGGGCTCCTGAGCAACCTGATCTAATGCATGGAATCCCTGCACATGTCAAGGTGCTGAAACAAGATGATCTTTATGATTCCTTCCAACTCAAACCGTTATATGGTTCTATAATGACAGGGAGATTACATGATTAATGGAGCATTACATACTCTATTTCCAAACTATCTTAACTCCTATGTTTGATAAAGGAAGTCTGTTGGTTTAACTTCTTTATTATTCTCTTATACTTCCTGCAAGTGTCCTTTTGGAATGGTGACGTTTCAAGATTGCCTTGATCCTTATCTAGATTATTTTTGTTGTTGTTTGTTTTGTTTAAATTCACTGTGGCATAGCCACAGGCACAGGCTGAAGCTGCTAAGAGAGAATTTTTCCTTCCTATCTGTTTATATCCAGGCTTAGTTCAAAAAAGGATCTATGCAAAGTACTCCTATTGTTTTTCTTCAGTGCAATAATATTTTCTAATATGTTCATGGTGTTCAAGGCTTTTGCTTCAGGTAGCAGGGTCAGTTACAGATAGATAATACTTGTATTGTCTGGTGGACAGTGGCTTTCTAGTAGTAGAATTAAGGGGTAAATGTGGTACACTTCTTGCTGGTGTCTAGCTGGCTTGTTTGCATTTCCTCAAAATTTCATTGTTCCCAGTATCTGATATATCAGTGGTCTCTATATATGCAAGGAACAGAGTGTGGAACTTTGCCTTTGTGGCAGTCAGTGGCAATATTACTGTTCATCACAGTGAAGCAGCAATTTCACCTATCATATTTAGGAAGGGGGTGTACTTCTCCTAGATAAACAGCATTTCTAGAACCAGTGATTTGTATTGTGACCCTTGTGGTAGTCAGTGGTTTTATGAATGACATTGATTGACTGAAATCTGTCATTTGAATGAGAGTAATATCATTTGTGTCTCTCATTCTTCTAGAATTTGACCTTGTTGCAGACAAAATCTTGAAGACGTAACAGACATGCACCTTAGAGGTTCAGCGAGGAAATAACAATTGTAATTTTTTTTTCCTAATCTTGTGAACTGGTGCTTATTTTTTCTGAATGCATCGCATTTTTACTACTGGCTTGCGATAATTGCAGCTTCCAGTTAAGGATCTCCAAAGTGTAACTTCTTTGTAGCAAAGGAGGAATTCCAGCAGCCCTATAGCTATGAAAACTATTATCACCCTCCATTACATGGAGACCTCTGAGCTACACAGAGATTAGTTCTACAAAACAGCTTGGATAAGGCATCCAAAATATTAGTGTTAACTTTCTTCAACTTCATCAGTTCTTCATCGTGTTGTTGTCACATGAGTTGTACAAATGCGTACTTCTTATTATTAAGAACAGATATGCGTGGTTACCCCTCTGCTATTTGTAATCTACGTAACCAGCGCTGACAGAAGTAGTATTGCTAAACACGTGGGTTTGTCAGAAGCTTGGCATCTCCAAAGTGGATTTTGAAAGTACTTCAGCCTGACACTACTAAATGCACATCAGAATCTGATCTCAGATCCTCCCACTGTTCTGTCAGCACATGGGCCCTCTTCCCCATCCTCCAGCCTGGTATCAGTTTCTTCTTTGGCACTGTTAATCAAACTGCAGCAGTCAGCGTTGCATGAAATAAGGTAATGCAGCACTTGACATTGTATTATAAAGCCGGTTCAGTGCGTAGAATGCTACGTGACCTTTGCAACAATCGTGTCATTTGACGATTTTACTCACCCACATCTCCCCAGCTTATAAAAGCAGATTCATGTTTACAGCCTACACAGGCATTCTTCACATTCAGGTCATAATGGCTGACATGAATGGCTAAACAGGTTATAACTGTGTATCATGGATACATTCTAGGGAGCTGCATTAGCTATGCTTTACATTTTGGTTCTGGATTTGGGCAGTAATTGTTGACTGGGATCTCAATTGCAATAAATGCAGCAATAAAAGTTCTGAGCCCCTGATTCTGCATGGTTTCTGTAATTAATATTTGTTTAATTTGTAATTTTCTCAATCCTGGCAGCTAGTGATAACCGAGTTTATTCATGCACAGTACCTTTTTCAAAAGTTTCAAAATAAGTGGTTTTTCCCAGAAATTAAAACATCTGGATATAACTACGCAAATATAACTACGCAATGAATGTTTTTGTGGACTGTGTGTTGGGAAATTTCTCTCTACTGCTTGTAGCTGCTGCTTCTTCTTGGAAACTTAACTGTAGTAATCATGTATCTGTGAAGCAGTTTCTTCTTCCTTTAGTTATGCAGCCAAAAATCACATAGTTCCTCACGGTTTAACATGCCCCTTCACCCCCCAAAAAACCCCAGCCCAATCAGCCAAAAAACCCAATCAAAGAAACAAACAAAACCCCCCAAAAACCCCCACAACCTCCTACTAAACCCACAAAAAATTCTTGGTTGATTTTTCTGTAATTATATTGACAGCCATTATGAGGACAATTTATGCTTTTGCCAGAAAAAAAGCTATCCTTACAGAAGTTACAGGTTATAAAATAGCTGCAGTGTCCTAGGATTGAATTTACTTTGTAATGCCTGCACAATGTTTTTATACTGTATTTTCTTTCTGCAGCGAATAGAAAAAAATGCACAGCATAATTCCATTCAATTTCAATCAGTTTCTCCACTGTTACATCAAGTCTTCTGTTTATCACCATTGCAGTGGATGGTGATACATTTATCTAATAAAAGATAACACCTCCTAGGTGCTTGGGGTCCGTTAAGGACACATGTGTGAAGATTGATTTAAGTTATGCATTGCCAATGCAGGCTCGGCTCCTGGGGTTAGGTAATTGTTCCTTTCCTATTTTGTGGTCACTTGCACGAGGAAGACCTGTTCTTGGCAGGTGTTTCAGGATATTTTTCTCACTTTTGCTGCTGTTTGAAATTTAGCTGTCATGTCTGTTGTCTATTCTGACAGAGTGTAGACCTGGATGACCACCGGAAGCCTGAGTTTAGAAGAGTTTTTAGTTCTTCCATCATTGAAAATGGGCATCGATCTTCATCATCAGGTAAGAACAGGGCATGAAATGAAGCAGCACTGCTTGTAGAATACATGATCTTGGCAGTCATAGAGCAGGACTCACATTTTGGAAGGGTTAGAATCTACTATAGTTTCAGGATGGATATTGTCCAGTGGCTCTAGTACTTTATTTCATAACTAGGAGTTTAACTTTTAAACTTTGGCTTTACTGTTAAGCATCTACTATGGTGTTTCATAAATTGGAGCTATTACTCCTGCATTAACTTGAAAGACGAGCGAAAAGACCTTCTATGGTGGGTGTCGTTGTAGTCTTGCATCCCAAAACGTCTTGCAAGTCACCCGTCTGCTTCTGTCATCCTTCAGTGAAGGAAGGACTTACCGTCTCCACTTTAGAGAAAGTCATACAGTGTTTCATAAAAGCGTGAAGAGAAATGCTGGTTCCTTAACCGGGGCAGGAGATTGCGAGTGAGGGCTGCGCAGAGGAAGAGAAGCTTACCAAATGCAAATGCTAGTATATTAATGATCTGAAGACATTGCTCCTGCTGAGATTCACATAGAGTAAGTGTGATTGCTGCAAGGGTCACTTGGGCTAGGGTTGTTTCAGTTATGTAAATGGTACAATGTTTCACAGAGGAGTAAGTCCAGTGACCTGTCAAATAAAGTTGTTGCATGAGCATTGGTTTGTAGCTTTGTTACAAACTGCAAACAAATTTACTTCCTCTCTCCCATTTTTCATTCAGGTCAGGCAAAAGCCACCCATGAACTGACCTGTTTTGAGATGTCAGAATCTTCGTCCCCTGAAGCCCATGCCCCTGCAGTCACCTTACAGATGCCCCACCTTCCCGTTACTGCAGTAACCAGGACATCTGAGAAGTTTTCAGGAGAGAACATCTGTCCAGCAGGAACAACTAATACATCTTCTTGCCTGCTGGGACAGGGCAAGAGCGCAAATACAATGGGAGTAAAATCTTCCAACCAGCCAGGTAAAAGAGAAAACTAACTTGCTGAAGCTGCATCCCATTTCCTTTCTTCAACTGGTACTATGAGTATTGTCCTGTGACCTAGTGATTATGAAACCTTGCTTCTATGGCTATATAGCCCATTGTGGGACACTCCATTTTGGAATGCTGTGGGTCCTACCTGGAGCTTTCGGCTGTAATGTCACACCTGCAGAGAAGTTTTGTGCCTAATGTACCTGAGTTTTTAGTGAAGCGTATCTTACAGCACAGTTAGTGAATCAGTAAGTTACTTAATCTCTTAAACGTGCCCAGCTCTTTTCATGAAATTTGTGGACATTTTTAGTGCTTTGGGACTGGAGGCCCTCTGAGGAGTTAGGCAGATATTTGGCCAGGAGGTTCCAATAGTCATTTGGAAGAAGGAATGACTGACAGCAGTCTGACACATATACACATGTCAGTGATTGCAGAATCTTAGTTATATTGAAAGTGAGTTTAAAAAAAAAATTCACATGGAAGGCATTCATCCTTGGCTATGACACTTACAAATTGGATTATATATATGGGTCAGAAATTACAGAAGGAGACTGGGATGGGATTGCTAGCAAGAGATAGGGATTATTTTCAGGTTATTCTTTCAATTTTTATCTTACTAAAACTAAAAATGTAGCAAACACTTCCTTTGTTTGTGCTGATACAGTGAAGGACTGGAATTCAATTACAATGAGAACAATGGATTCACTGGAGGTGATTGTTTCTATCTGCATGCCCTTATGCAACAAAAATTGAGAGTGATTCTGGGCTCTTTGGGGGATTCAGATCTGAGCATATATTTTGACTTGTAGGTACATGGTAATACTAATATTGCTAACAGGTCTGTATGCAGACTCATGGAATCACAAACACTGGTTCTACTCCATCAGATTCTCAATCAGTTCAAATCAGGGTACTTACCCTTATTTGCACAGTGATGTACCTGTGTACCGTTAGGCAATCTCTGCAGTGGAAACCATAGGTGCCAGAAAAGTGAGGCAGGCAGACCGCTTGAGCAGTGAAGATTTCAGCTGATCAAGTGAAAACTGTGACTGCACACAAGGCAGTTGGAAAGTGGTGTGCCCACCCATGTATGCTGAAGCAAATTACTTTGAGCAGGATAAAAGTAAGGAGTCTCCTGTGTAATATAATGTGGCAAAGGACAAAATGCTTTAAGAATTTCTGATTTCAGTTGAAATAGAAGAGTTGAGCTCTCTCCAAAAGTACCTCTGATTGCTGTCACCAAATTGTTACTGTCTGCACAATGTACTGGCATTTCACAGTGGTCTCAAGTGTCAGTTTATTTAGCAAAATATGTAGCCCTTAAGGAATAAGGATTACATTCCTCCTCACCTGAAAACATCTGAGACTGGCATAACTATCTGGCAATTGTTAATGGCCACAAATTTGTCACACCTGTATCCTGGCATCTACCAGTGTGTTTTACTTGAGAAGTGTAGTTGATCTGGATCACGTCTATAAGAAGAAGGGAGAATTCTGTATTTTCAGAGAGTAAGACAGTGATCAGGTTGGATTGCTTCTAAGATGGCAGTCCTTCATGTATAGAAGGAGCTTTCAAGAAATTTGTTGCTGGTTTATGCAATAAACCAGTTTGGCTTTGGTGTGTTAAAACTGGGCAAGACACTCCACTGTTTTGCAATTTTAGAGCGTAGCTGGAGTCCAGAGCTGAGCCCTAAGAGGCAAAGCACATAAGGTAGAACCTCAGAGGTGGAGAGAGGAAGATGCAAAGTTGATTTTAAGCCACATTTGCAACTTCAAGTGTGTTCTACTTTACAAATTAAAATGTCTTCCTGGTAGAAATTAGATCATTTAAATTATGCACTCAATTACATTAAACTCCCCAGGGCTTGTCTGCTAGAATAACTTTTGCAAGCACAACTTTTTCCTTTAACTGAAATGTCAGTGGCAGTGTGCCCTCCTCTGAGGGCCTGAAGTGATCTGACCTTCCAAACTGCAGTTTTATCCAAGACATCCTCTCAGAGTCCTTTCTGGTAGGCTTACACTATCCTCGCTGCAGTGCAACAATTTTACAGAGGAATTGAACTGCTGGGGAAAATCCTTGCCCAGCTTGTTAGCTCATATGGAAGCCAGAGGCCTGCAGCTTTACAGTGTGGTGAGTAAAAATGAATGCGTGTCTATCCATCAGGAAAGCACATGAGGAAAGTTTCTGCACTAAAGCATCTTTTCTGTTTTTATATAGAGAATGCTACTTCTGTCACCAAGCCTGTCTCAACTGTGAACTACGGGCTGCGTAGTGGAGCCAAAACTGGTGAAAGGTATGCATTCTTCATGACATTGAACCTTTATGCTGCCTCTTGTCACTGCAGAGAGTTACTCTTTTGTTTACCACATACTTTTCACGTTATGTTTCTTCAGTGCCATTGACAGCTCTCAGTCACCTCCTCCTACTGTGCATCGCCAAGTTGAAAGGAGGCGAGAATTGGTGCGGTCTCAGACGCTCCCGCGGACTGCAGCAACGCAGGCCAGGAAAGCGCTTCTTGAGAAACTCGAACATGATGGTGGGAAGTACGTCTCAGTCCTTGTGTCCAGAACGGTTTGTTAACGGGAAACGACTTTGTCAGTTATTGCCAGCAGAGTACAGCTGGGTGGGAGAACTCTCTCTATGAAGGATCTGGAGCTAAGGGACAATATGAGGCCCCTGAGGTTTCGCTGACTTACAGACCAAGCCTTGGAAATTCACAGCTACAGAATCCTCTGGCTTTGGAGTTGTTCAGCTGATGCAGCAGGTTCCCTTTTAATCAGGGAAGCTTTGTGTGAAAGCTAGTGACTTTCTGTTGCCATTCATTAAGGATCAAAATATGGACACTTCTTGATGGAAGTATGATTTAAAGAAAAGAGGGTTTGGAATTGGAATTTTGGCTTTCGTTTAATAAAAACTAAGTTTTTCTTGCAGGACCAACAAGTCAAGGTTTCAGCAACATGTTTCTCAAGTATCACCTGGACAGGGGCTGACCTGGGCAAAGTTGTATAGATGTTCCTAACAAATAGGTTTAAGTTTTTCTAGAATGTAATTCTGGTCTCTGTTAATTTTCCAGAGGAAAAGGAGAATCCAGAGCTAAGCTGAAGAGATCACTGAGTTTTGGGGTTGCCAGTGCTAGCAGCATTAAACAAATTCTGTTAGACTGGTGTCGCTCAAAAACCATAGGATACAAGGTAAAGATAGGCCAGTATTTTCATTTCTCTCTTTTTTGTTTCAAGAGAATTTGCCAAATTCCGTGCTCAAGAGGTTGAATGTAAAATATGTTAGAGAATGAGTTAACTTCCTCAAGGTCAAAAATTTCCGTGTGGGTAACGTGAATATGGTTTGCATAGGCAGCAATTCAAGACTGTCAGTGACTGCATGAATGAGATCCTCTATTAAAGCAATACATTAGTGTTTTTCTGAAAGCTGACCTTTTTGTGCTTATGGATAAAAATTTCAGTATACACTCAGACTTTTTTTTCTTAGTTGCAGGCTGTAATTTTTTACTCACATTATACATGACAAGTTCTGAATACATAGAGACTATGGCCATTTTGCTACATGCAGACCCAAGTACTCTGTTAGTATTTCACAAACGAATTTGTAATAAATGGCTGAGTTTGAATCACACTGTGAGTAAACTTTTATGAGGTAGCATCAGTGTCACTATAAGAATACAGCAGTTGAGATTCTATTCGTTTTACCTGGCCTTAAACTGCAACTGTCAAAGAAATAATAGAAATTTTTTTTTTCTAGGGCTTTTTTTGCATGTGTTTAGTATGTTTTTCAACATTACTAAATGTGCATAATTATTGCTAAACTGTACATTATAGTATAAATAAGCAGAACTAATTAAAATTTTGGTTAATTGCTTACCAGAAAAGCTGGGACTTGAATTTTATATGATGGGAAAGCAGCATGAGACAAGAGCACAAGTATGTTTCTTTTCACTGTGGCATTTGAAAGTAACAATAAGAATTTGTTTTGAGAATCAGGTTGGGCAGTAGGTGTGATTTTTCTTATATTTCTATCTATCTGTGTGTAAACAGATATTGAATTGGGCAAAGCAAGCAAGCATAGTCTTTATCTTGTGTTATTCACAAAATGAACTGTTCTTCAATTTTAAATCCTCCATAGGGTGATTATGGTTATATGTCAGCAGAGTCCTTAGTTTTCACAGATACTGAGCTGATGCATCGGGCCTGCTCCAGTGCTCACTGATGTTGATGAGATTCTTTACAGTATTTTCAGGGGGCTTTGGATCAGGGACCTTGACTATGCGTCTGCTTTGCATCTAGGTATTTCAGGCAAAGAGCTTTTATTGCTGAGTGTGTCATTTTTTTTCCCAGAATGTCAACAATGAAATGGCTGTACAAAGATGGGAAGAAAAAAAAAATAAATAAAGCCTGTGCTCTTGCTGGTGGGAAAGAATGATAGAATACTGCATTGAACAAAAGCAGCTGCTCTTATTTGTTCCCCTGTGCTGCATTAACATGTGTACTTTTTTCATCATGACAGCACATTGATCTCCAGAACTTCTCCTCGAGCTGGAATGATGGGATGGCATTCTGCGCTCTTGTACATTCTTTCTTTCCTGAAGCTTTTGATTATAATAAGCTTGACCCAGCTAACCGCAAGCAGAACTTTGAGCTGGCCTTCACAACGGCTGAGTGAGTACATTAGCGCTCTGTGAAGTGCTTCCAGTTCAAGTCTAATGCACCTGAGCAGCAGTGAAGAGTTTCATTATTATTCCTTTTGACTATTGATGCCTTGGGAGGCTACCTAGAACAGAGGCTAGACAGTGTTAAAGGAATAAAGTAGGTATTTAGTAAAAAGGCCTTCAAAGGATACACTTTGGGTAGTACAAGAGCCTGGCCAAGGCCACACCCAAGATGGATGATGGATCACAGGTTTTCACACTTTTGTAAGTTTTGGTCCATTTACATATTGGGGTTAATTGTCCAATTACAGCTTCAGATTATGAAGCCCCATCCTCCTAGACTGCTCTCCTCAATTCGCTGCTGTTTATACTTTTTGGGCCTGAAGCTGCAACGGTGTCCTTGGTTCTCAGGCTGGGAGAGGATTGTTTTGTCTGACTAAACTGTGAGGAGAACTTGCTAACACTTTATATGAAGTTTAGATTTATATACTAATGCAGTACAGAATGTGGATAATATGAAAGCTAAAATTTGAGGCACCAGCATTACTAGCTTGCATGTATCATGCCAAAAAAGATAATGAAGCTCTGCAGAGAGAACACATAGAAGATGTGGGAGACTTCATCTCTGACTGTACCTTGTTTTTGCTTGAAAAACAACAAAGGTTGAATTCAGTGTAAGTACAGATCAAGGCTGAGAGCTTCTCAGTATCTCAGCCAGGTAATTGCATTTCTGAAAACAGGCAGAGCTAATCCCCTCAGTCACATTATGCAGATTCTTTTTTATGCTGTATAGCAGGTAATTAAATGCTAATTTATTTGTTAAAGTCATTATGAATGTGAACCTGCCAGTCGGAGATAGTAACATTTTTGAGCTGATATCAACATGATTCTTAGGGTAAGACGTGTCCATGTGGTATGCAGCTGGGTTTGGTACACTTTTTCCAAATGATAACAGGCAGTAGGAAGACATGGCTAATGAAGTAACTTAAAGAACTGGATTTGCCATTGGCCATTCAGAAAAAACCTTTCACATTTCTTGACATAATGTTGTTTCTCCTTATTACAGCCTCTAGCAAAGGAATTAATTTGGGAAATACAAGTATTTTTTTAAGTACACATATATGTACATATAAAAAAATTGTGTTGCTTGTCAGTGAGTTGAAGGAGATTCTGTGATACTTTTAGGTGATTGATCTCTAAAAAACTATCTACAACTCTCAAAGGAAAGCTGCAGTGTTCTTCTACCTCAGTTTATATAAACAGTAAGTTTAGGGGAGGACAAAGGGCACCATAAACACAACACTAAGAAACATTAGATGAGAGAAAATTACAGAAATTATTATTCATAGCTATGATTGCCTTTAAACTGATTTATCTGAGTAAAATAAATTTGAGTAGTCAGTAAAGGCTATTTTCTCAGCTACTGCTGTTCACCCCGGTACTAGCTATGCTGATAAAATTGATCCCTGCCCTTTTGATTTTTCATCTTAAGCCTCTGCAGATCTGTTCCTTTCTGCTGGTCCAGATCACTCACATCTTGAAGATATGGGGGTGGTGGAGAACAAACAATTCACAGCCACATGGGCGTTCATCAGCACATCTCATCTCCTCCTGAGTTTTTTCATTCTTTTGGAACTCCCTATCTTATAACCAAGAACTGAGACATGGGCATAGTGGTGTGAGATTGGGCTACATACTACAGATATAGGGAATGTGAATGATAGTGAAAAAAGCACCACCCCTCCAGGGCTTTAGATCAGATCCCAGTATCAAGAGACAGAAAGAACAGGAATATTCCATGGTCATAAAAATAACAATGTCCAGCCTGACCCTGCTCAATTCATTGTGAAATTAAATGCTGCCAATAAACCTCAGGATTTCTTAAATGTTTCAATGGTGCTCAAATCAGATCATCAAATGAACCCTGGAAGCAGTTATGTAACTCTTGATTTGCTGTATCTGTTTTATTGTTAATACAGAAAAATGGCTCACTGTGACCGTCTGATAGAAGTGGAAGACATGATGGTGATGGGTCACAAGCCAGATCCCATGTGCGTCTTCACCTACGTGCAGTCTCTGTACAGTCATCTACGATGTTTTGAATAAAACCATCGACACCACTCCAGCCAGAAGGGTCAACTACAGCATGCTAATGGGAAGACTGACATTTTGAGAATGAAACACAGTATTATTTCTTGCTTTGCACTGTCCCTTTGCTTACATTCAGCTGTGTAGCTGGCTGACTGAAGTATTGCTGAGCAGTGCCCTGAAGTGTTGATCACATCACCATGTCAGTAATACAGAAATAGGTTTGAAAAAAGACAAAAAGACATAGGCAAAAGCAAATATTGTCATTTTGGTGCTAGTAGTAGATTGGATTTTTAGGATTTTTATGTTTAAAGATCACAGGAAGCAAATGTACTTCTGTCTGTAAGGCTAGGGACAATTTTATGCAGTGACTCTGCTATGAAGGTGTTCCATCTTAAAATGCAGGTAAAACTCCAGAAGATAGCACCTTCAGTTTTACTTGTCTGTTGAACATAGTATAAAAGAAATAGCAGATGGACAAGGAAAATTCTGTTTAGCAAATAATGACTTAGAATTCACCCACTAGGGCAATAATGCCTCTCCTCCAACCCTACCCCTCTGGCATACACACACAGAGATCAAACAGGCATTTTTGTTCTCTTAAAGCACAAACAGAGCATAACCTATTGTCTGATGAGTGTGGTGACAGATTACTACGTTACATAATGGCATTTGTCTGTAATGGTCACATCTAGTACTATTTGCTGAGAGGGTTGCTAATGCCTCTACTGGCAATCCTGGATTAATTTCTTGATAAAACTAGCAACAGCTGGGACTGTTCTGAGATTGTGTGCTTGCATGGTTTTGGATTGCAGGAAAGGTAGGAGCTAGCAAGGTACAAAATCCTTTGAACAGCTGTAATAGAAACAAGCCTGTAATGTCCTTTTACCTGGACTCAGCGGGAGAGCAGCTCTTCAGCGTGGACAAGAGTGAACTCTTTTCAACTCTTTCAGTACAGATGCTGATTCTGAGGCAAACGAACAATACACAAAAAATATATATGAAAGATGTGGGAGTTTTGAAATAGTTTCAAAAGCCTTGCACTAGTTTAAGTTTTCAGTTGAGTATTAAAACCACAGTAGAGTTAGATTATTCCAGATTTACTGGACTAAAAAAAGTCTTCTAAAATTATTTCTTCCCTAAGAACAGGCTCATAGAAAGAAACAAACTGAAAGCCACAAATTGTCTGCTCATGCTAGAGAATGTTTTTTAACCTGCCCTTGTGCTTTTTGTAGATATTTACAAAGATTACTTTGGTTCTATATTGATCTGTAGATATTTAGAAAGATTAATTTGGTTCTGTATTGATGACCATTTATAATAAAATATGTCAAGCATTCTTCAGATTTATTGCATCTTTTTAGAATGATGTGAAAGATAGCGAAGTAAAATCAGTGAAAACAACACAGAGCTTTTACTTACAAGATTTTTGTTCCAGTCATGATTCTGTATGCTCTGAATTTCAGTTTAAAAAGTACGTAAGTTCAACTGCATTTGAAATATGATTTTACTTCAGTCTCCCTTTCTAGTCTAGTTTACTTAAAAACCATGAATGAAGCAAACGCTTTGTTAGCATATAAATGCCATTGCCTTCAGTTTTCTACTTTGTCTTGAATGATTATAATTCTGAGGAGTAAGTGTGTGCCTATAGCTCTACCAAATGCACTGTAAGGATAAACATGTTGTACTCATGTTTTGGAGTTTTGGTTAAGCATGAGGAGAAATCTGTCCAAAACATTCTTACAGTAGAATACTTTTTATTGAGTAGCAGAGCCAAGGTCTATCATAACTACCACAAGAGGGGCAATACTGGCTTAATACATCGCATTCCTTCACAGTCCAAGGTCATAGCTGATTTTACTGTGTGATGTGAGTGCTGAAGACGCAGGTAAGTGCTTGGCCAACTTAGGCCTAATAGCATATAATTATATAAAGGAACTTTTAGACTGTAAAAGTATTGCCAATTCAACAGGGTGAATCTATATACGTTCTGTAATTTACCTTGTTTTTGCAGCTATCCACAAGGTATTTGTACAGGTTTTCTAAAGTCTTCCCACTTCAGAGAGGTGATCGTAAAGATATCTGGGACTTACCAGACACCTGTTTGCAAGAAAGTTGAAGACTGTAAGCTGAGTTGATCTACTGATGGTTTGTGTGTGAGGGTTAGGGAGATAGCGCTATGACATACTTTTAGAAAACTTACAGCTTTGTGCATTAGGAGGTCTGCTCTTATATGAATAACCTCAACTACTTGATTGTATGATTATATTGAAATTAAAGTATATAACGTATGCCCCCAATTGATTTTTCAGTATTTTTTTTTAAATGCAGAGCATGTGTGTATATGTGACAGTGTGTTTAGCATGAATGATAAAAGAACAATCTATTAAGTTGGCATAGTATATATTTACACAAATGGACTGTTTCTTAACTTTTCTAATGTTTCTGTATTATATCTAAAAGTACATCTACAGTTGTTTATTGACAACTTGATCCTACTTTTAAAGGCTAAATCAGTTTGTTCTGTGCAATATTTTCAAGATAATGTCAGCAGAGACATCATCTACTTTTTAAGACTATGCTTCCCATAGCAGCAAAGTCTTTCTCTTTTCAAATGTAATAACTGGATGAATGTCTTTCATCACTTCTCCCTTTGTCTGATATGTCCACTAAAGTGTTTAATCTAAAGCTATGCTCGAACCCATGCAAACTCTTTTACATGTATTTTAAATATATGTAATTATGTATAAAACTATCCCAAAGGTTCAACCTTGTATCATTAATTTAAACCCCGCCTGGCTTACTGAGGTAGTTCTAAGGTGTCCAGAATAAAAGACTGGATTGCTTTGTGTAAGATGCATTTAAAAGCCATTTTTGGTTATGCTAAAATGCATCTATGTCTACATAAAGCCTCAGAGGAGTTAACGTAGAACCACAGAATATTCTGAGCTGGAAGGGACCCACAAGGATCATCACGTCCAACTCTTAAGTGAATGGCCCATATAGGGATCAAATTCACAACCTTGGTGCCATTATAGCACCATGCTTGAACATACTGAGCTAATAGTTAGGGCTGGAAGGGATTGATTACTGTGGCGGTGATCTAGTCCAATTCCCCCCTGTAATAACCAAGGATGTCCAACCCAAACCATTCAATAATTCTATGACTTCAGCTTTATCAGATTGCTCAAGGCCAAGCCCAAAATTGACCTGGAATTTTTCCAGGAATGGGGACCTCTCCAGGCCATCTGTGCTAGTATTTTGCTATCCTCACTGCAAAAAAATTCTTCCCTATTATTGCAGTTTGATTTTATTGATTCCTTGTTAAGTGATTAGTTCTGTTTTACCCCCATGTTCTCCCTCATGTAGTTGGTTTACCCCTGGGTTTTCCCCTCCCTCAAAGCTGCCATTCATGCCATTCCCTGCCTATTGTTCCAGCTCTTTCCCTGCCTATCAAGGCAATCCACCCCTTGATTCCCGAACCTTCTCTGCCACTTAAACCTCGTGCCAACCCCTGTCTATAACACCCCTTTGGAATTCCCCTACTCCTGGAAGACCCATTGGCCCATGTGGCCCATCCTCTCCACCCTCCTACCCAGCTGGACCGGTGGAATCCCCCCACTCCTCCCCTGAGGATTCCCTCTTAGTTAGCTGCTTGTATCCGCCCCCTGACTTGTATCCGTACAAAACACCCCTACACAACAGAGCTAAGGCTTTTTGTCCTGCTGCCTTCATCTGGAGTAAACTCTCCCTTATAGAACCTCAAGATGAAGAGCCTCCTCCTTTCTCCTCTGCCTGGTCCCTGTCGTGGTTTGTGTCTGGCACCTGAGAGCAAGTGGCATTAAAGGTTCTGCCTCTGCTAAATCCTCATGCCAAGGCAGTTCCCCACTCCTGGCGTGGCACCAAGAGTTCTAAGAGCTAGCCCCGGGTTCCAGCAGCTACTTCACCTTATCTCTAGTCTAAATCAACCTTTTTCGTTTTAAAACTGTTAAGCCTTGTCCTTTGCTACAGGCTGTACTGAAAAGTTTGTCCCCATTTTTCTTAGAAGCCTCTTCTAAGTACTGGAGGCTGAACAGCCCCAGCCCTCTCAGCCTTTCCACATGGAGTATTTTGGACTCTAGTGGAACACCACTGTTCAGAGCTATTACGTTAGTCTATCTTTCAATGTTGTGATTTCAGCAACATTGAAAGAAAGCAGTTAATGATGCTGCAGTGTGAGCTCAGTCTAGAGAACTCTCCTACTTCAACAGAGTGGCAGCAGTTCTGCTGACTGATTCTCTGATGAATAAGACTATTTATGGTATTTTTCATGCACCCAACAAGGAATATGGCAACATACTTCATTTAGATCTAGTCTCATTAATGCTGGTTGGTTAGACTCGCCCACAGAAAACGTGAGATGTTTCCAGACTGACTTGGCCATTTCACAAATAGTGACCCAATTTTCTACATCCAGACAAAACTCACAATGTGAGGAACCGCTCCTTTGTCAAATCTTTTTTAAAGGCATTACAGTGGAACGTGGTAAGCAAGCTGGTGTTAGCTTACCCCTACTGCTGTGCGGAGGAGGACTTACATTTCCATCCGGCCGTAACTGGCCGCTTACACGTGGTGTGGAAAGGCGACGCGGGTGCCGGCGCAGCCGGCGGTGCCCGGGCCGCTCTCCCCGCCTCAGCC